AGAAGTGAGAAATCGACGATTGAACGAACGACAACGAAGGTCGCCTTCACATTACATCACGCCTGCTAAGGTGATGGGGAAATTTGTTCAAATCACCTTGAAATACGGTAATTTGTCCAGCGAAACTTCTAGAATTCCCACCGATTGTGATTGCTAGCGCCCAAGATCGTTTCTAAGCACCTCCTTGTGTACCGAAGTGCTTACCGTCAAAGGATGAGTGCGCCAGCTGCACATATATAATCTAGCATTTACCGCCAAACATGCCCGCACACTAGACAAGCCCCTCTGATGGATCGCATTTTATATGCTTAGCCTGATTGGGTGGTTTTTACGGTTAGACGCGGTATTTTTGGAACATACAATAGTGCAACAGGTTTTTGATGTTAAATATCTAATTTTGATAAGAATTTTACCAGATCACCAGCTTGAATCAGAAGTTAGTGTCTGTAAACTAGATAAGTCAAAATAGGTTGAAAGTAGGTGAAAATTTGAGATTTCCATAAGTTTTTTTCTTTATTTACTTTTTCCCAACTCTTCTATTAATGAAGAACAAAGTGTCATTACTAACCATTCACTCTTAAGTTCTCCCACTAAGAAACAGGTGGTATGAGATGCAATTTATCGACAGTAAATAAGGATTTAGTAACTGGAACCGCTTTTGAGAGTGAATACATACAGGTGCGAGACATTGCGCAAGTGTATATGCGCTTGCCTTCCTCACATTTCTACAATTCACTGTATAATCAAGGCTAATCTGGAACTTGAGCGAACACTTCGAGTGTTGAGTAACTTGTTATTAGCTATGGTAGGTAGTACGGTCTATGTTGAAGGAGAGAAGGGGATGGGACAAGTTTTGGAGTGGGAGGAGGAGAGAGAGGAGTATAGGGCTGTTATAATGTACAGGCGATAGAATTTCGGTAGAAATCCCTAGATTCTCTTAAAAAGAGGTCATTTTCAATTAAGATGGAAATTAGAGAACATAAAAAAGTCATACAGAACCGTTTCACCTACCTCTAGATTTATTTTTCGTAGTTAATAACAGGAAAATACTATTTCTTCAAGTTTTTGAAATTTTTATTCTTTTAACCAATGGAATCCTTTCCAATTTGCAGCTTTCACATTGTTTTCACAATCTTTTTGGCCCTCTTACAGTATAGAAACTCTCGCCGTTCAGAAATTTTTGCTTATAGATTTCTTTGAATTCCCTCAACTTTTATAATAATTTCTCCATTTTTCAAGCATAAACGGAGTTGTGCAGTAGATAACGATGCACAGCAACTGACGATTTGAAACAGTTGCGGTAGCATATGCGGGAAGAAGAAGGTGCCTGAACACCTGGTCACCATAGAGTGGAATCTATGAGTCTGTGTAGTAAGCGTGAACAGGATGCACCCTTGGTCCAATAAGAATAAAACTAAGAAAGCATGGTGCAATTGAGGTATTCGGGTCTCGATTTAGCTTACAGAAATATGTAAGAACTGGTAGATGAACCCGAAAGATGTCCACAGTATGGCGCTAAGGATAAACAGTAACTTTCATAGATAGATTTAGTGATATCTTCACTCTTCTCAAGTAGAAACTGCTGACCTTCTAAGTTTTTTTCTATTTACTCGCCGCAATATAAAAATGCTTTGTATGTGGGATTATCTTCCTATGAGAATAACCATATTACTGTATCTCTAGCACTGAATAATTTTACAAATTAGCATGATAACTATTTTTTGACAAACGTTTTTTAACTTTCAAAAAATGGAAGAAAGATATAGGCGCTTTCAACATGGGCCAGAGACGATACAGCTTGACCACAACATCTTTGTCAAGATATTTATAAATATTTATAAAAAACTGAGGCTGCAGCTATCATATTCTCA